TAACAGTAGAATGGGGGGAAAGATGATTGCATATGAAACTGCAAATCTATTATGTACAACTTGCTATTCCTTTTAAATATGTAATAAAGTTATTAACTTTCTTCTTTTTTTCTTTTTTTCTTCCTTCCCCCCCACCTCCACCCTAAAGATGGCTACCATTAGACACAAATATGTAAATTCATTCTATACGTACTTGTCTTTATCAGTTCTTTCTCTGGATGCAGGTAGTAACTTCTTTCATAGGTCCTTAGCAGTTAATTTGGCTATTTATAATAGTCAAAATTACTTGGTCGCTCAAAGTCGTTCTTAAAACAATATTGCTGTTACTGGATGTAACATTCTCTTTGTTCTGCACACTTTATTCTTCATGATTTCATGCAAATCTTTCCATGTTTTTCTAAGATCATTGAACTCATTATTTCTCATAGCACAGTAATATTCCATAACAATCATATATTCCAACTTGTGCCCACCAGTTAGGGAACAAGTTATGAAATATGATTGTATATGAAATTAATGGAATACTATCGTGCTATAAGAAATGACAGAAGGAATGATCTCAGAGAAACCTGAGAAGACTTGTTTGAACTGATGCACAGTGAAGAGAGCAGAACCAGGAGAACAAATCATATGACAATAACAACATCGTAAGAACAAACAACTTTGAAAGGATTAGAATCTTTGATCCACACAATGGTTAACCAAGACTCCAGAAGTACAATGATGAATCAGGCTACTCATTTTTCACCACACTCCAGGTGTAGAATGAGACATACATTTACAGATACAGCCAATTCGGGCATCTGTTTTGCTAAAATATACTTTCTGTTACCAGGGTGTTTTTTCTTTTAAATTGGAAGTGGACACGGGAGGAGGAGAAAACAAACGCTTGTTAATTGAAAAAGAAAAAGAAAAAAGAACAGGACTGGGGTTGAACATCTAGGTCTTCCTTTCAAGAAAAGAGCTCATTAGCACAAATTGATAATATTGCACAAGTTGTCAGAGCCAGAAAATGCTAAATACTCACTGAGGAAGAGAATCCTCAAATAATAAATTGTAAGGATGTGGTATTATGAAATGAATATAAGTATCTCCCAGGTAAATTATCTATTTAGGTCCCTGCGGTGTCCTGAGGACCGGGAATATGTTTATATTGCATGATAACTTATAATTAGATTTTGATGCCTGTTGGGATCGTGAGGAAAATACCATAAACAGAAATCAAGCCCCAGTACTCTCATTGTTAAATTGTTGGGAATGTAGTAAATAAGATGACTTCCTAGTACAAAAACAATCCATCTCCCCTCCAACTTGTCCTTATGCCATCCAGGTACTTCTTAGTTCATAGATGAATACTGCAATGTCTAAGTCTTTATTTGGGAAAGGAAATATATGTATTCACTCATAAGCATCTCCCCAACTTTCAATGTAGTCAATGAGGCAGAAGTTATTGTGAGTTGCTTCTGAGATGATTGATAGAAAAATCTGTTTTAAATAACTAAGATAATCGTTGGAGAACAACAATGCTTTTTCCAAAGCTAAAAGTTTGCCATGCTCCTGTAATTGCACATGCTGAGAAAAGCTGTGGGAGGAACGAAAAACAAAGAGAACTCATTTTAGGATCTTGTAATGTCTCAGGACAAATCTAAACATATATCCAATCAACCCAATTAAGTCTTCCAGGAGAGGGCTGTAAGTTTTTCTATTGAGAAGAGCTGATCTGGAGAGAATTTCAAGGATGCTAGAAAGCATCTCTTATGCCTAAAATATCTCTCCTACCTACTTGCTGGTGCCTGGGGTTCTCTTTAACTAATAGTAATAATAATAATAGCTAGTGTTTATATAGTGCCTACTATGTGTCAGGCAGTATGCTAAGCATTTTACAAATATTATCTCATATGATCCTCACAACAAGCCTGGGAGATAGGTGCTATCAGTATCTCTATTTTATAGTGGAGGAAACTGAGACAAATGGAGGTTAAGTGACCTGCCCAAGGTCACACAGCTAGTAGGTACCTGAGACTAGACTTGAAGTCAGATCTTACTGACTGAAGGCTTAGCAGCTCCATTCATTTTATCACCAAGCTGTTTTTACCAAGGGAGAACCTTCCAACTTCTACTTTGCTGTTTAGCTGAAGGGGGGGAATCCTTTGTAAATAGAGAGCAGATTTTAACTCTGGCTAGGCAAATGATGCCTAGAATTCAGAGAGTGTTGTAAAGGACCAGGATCATCTTCTCAGTCTCAGGGGAAAAAGAGAGGAAAGACTAATTTTCTGGGAGAAGCCATGCTGAGGCAGGAAGAGGAGAGGGAGTTGGGGAAGTGAAAGGCAAATTGAGGCACCTTCAGGATTCTGACCAGCACTAATTCTACTGCTGAAAACTGCCCTCCAGGGGTTCTTTCTTTCTTTTTCTTTCTTTTGTTTAATAACTATCTTTATTATCAATAATAGTATAGCATACAGAGTGCTTTAAAGTTTACAACTTTACATATTATTTCATTTGATCCTTATAACAAACCTATGAAGTAGATACTGTTACTATCACCACCACTTTAAAGATGAAGTAACTGGGGCAAAGAGACCTTAAGTGACTTGGACAGGGTCACACAGCTGGTAAAGTCTGAAGCAAGGCTCGAATTCTGATCTGACTGTCTCCAAACAAGTCCAGGGTCCTATTCACTACTCAGTCTAGCCACCAGCAGAGGCATGCAAACATGGCAATATTCAGAAAAGGGGAGGGGGAGAGAATTAGAATATGAGCTCCTAGGACAGGGGTGGAGAACCTGAGGCCTCAAGGCCACAGGTGGCCAGGGCAGCACTTGAGGACCTAGAGGGCCACCTGTAGCCTCGAGGATACAGGTTCGCCACCCCTGTCCTAGAGAATAGGGATTGTCTTTTCTATTCTGCAGTGCTCAGCCCAGTGCTTTATAACAATAATAATCACTTAATAAATGCTTTATTTGTTCATTCATTCAACAAAGTAGTTTAAAATGTTCTTTTTGCATCCCCTTCTACACTTCTTTGAGTATTTTTTCTTTTCCCTGAGAGAATACTATTGTGCCTTAAGAAATGGCAAAAGAAACCTGGTATGCCCCATATGACCTAATGCAGAGTGAAATGAACAGAATCAGATGAATAATTTCTATGATAACATTATAAGGAAAAACAAATTTGAAAGACTTGAAAACTCTGATCAATGTAACAACTAATCACATTCCAGGGGACTGATGTTCAAGCGTGCTACTTGCCTCCTTCCAGATAGGCTCAAGATGCAAATAACACATATATCCAGACACAGTCAATCAAAAGAATTCGTTTTGCTTCACTTTGCTTATTTACTACAAGCGTCTTGTTTTTCTTTTCCTTTTTTCTTTCCGATTAAGGGCTGTAAGGATGGTGAAGCAGATCGGCAAAATGGGGTAGGAGAAAAAGAAAAGAAATAAGAGTATCATGAAGGCACCTTCCTCTCTTCAAGGCAAAGAATTAAACAAAAGGAAGACCAGAAGGAAGCATAGACAAGCTGCATGTCTTTGAAAGTTACAGGATGAATTTCTTATTTGCTTTAAATCAAAAGTCAACAAGCATTTACTAAATGCTTACTGTGCCAGGCACTGTGCTAAACCCTGAGAATAAAAAGAAAGGCAAAAACAGTCCCTGCCCGCCAGGAGGTCACAACCTAAAAGGGAGACAATAGGCAAACAATTACATATAAATAAGATACGTGCAGGATAAATTATGGATAATCCCGGGGAAGACACTAGCATTAACTTCTGTCTCTATTAAAAGAAGAAATATATTAAGAGTAAAGATCTGGACTGATAACTAGCTTTAACTTACCATAATAATAATTACTATTGTAATGACTGGCAGGTGTATGGTGCTTTAAAGTTCACACAACACTTCATATATGTTGTCATTAGAGCTTCACAACAATATTGTGATGTAGGTGTTAGTATTATCCCAGTTTTTACAAATGAGGAAACTGAGGCATGGAGAGGTTAAGTGACTTGCCCAGGGTCACAGGTGTTTGACTAAGGTTTTTAAACTCAGGTTTTCATGAGTCCAAGTTCTGAGTTCTAGCCACCACACCACATGGCTCCTTTCAAAACCCACAATTTAAAAACACAAAGCCATCCCTTTCCCCATCATGCTTTTTTTGCATCTTTGCTTCCTATTGATACTGGATTTTACCCTGTCATTTATCTATGCAAAAAGCAAAGCAAGCTAGCCACAATAGAGATCTCCTGTTTCATGTATGGAAATGTCCATTTTATTTGGTGTTAAGTTGAAAATAAAAATAAATCAATAAAAGTAAACTCTAAAAACACCTCTTTGGCCAGTCCTGGAACAACACTGGGTGCAAAATATCAATGTCAGCTTTGGCCTGTGAGCAGAGCAGATACCTAAATAGAGTCCATGCTAAGGAATGACCCAAGAAGCCAGGGCAGCTAGAAATAAGGGGGGCATAGTGAGAGTTGACTGAAAAGATATCAGCTTGGGGCACACACCTGGCACGAGGCTTGCAAGAGAGCTGCTAAGACACTAGAGACTGCTTCTTTTCTAGTCAGGGACAGCAACCAAAATGGCATCAGAGAAACTAATGGGGACCTACCAGGAGCCCGAGGTTTTGCTCCCAGCCCAAATCAGTGAGGAAATCTTCAAAGCTGCTATTTGTCCCTCAATCAAATTGGCTTCCCGACAGTCTGAAGTGGGTGCCTAATGCCCAGCGCCCACTATTGTTTCTCCCTGCCAGTCCTTTCTGAGTGAGTCTTAGCTGATGGGACTGGAACAGAGGAGTGGGAGAAAGGCTTTTGAAAGTCAACCAGGCAGAAACTTCAAGACAGGAAAGACTCTGAGCAGAGATTATTTGCAGCCCGGGGCATTAAGCAGTTGTCTGAAGGGAGGCCCTGGGGAATGATCAGGGGTGCACCCTAACTAGACTTCAATGGAGTACTTGTTTGGGTGTGGAGGGGCGGGAAGAAGGGGTGGAGGCATCTTATTCTATCTTTTAACAAGCAGCAGAGGAAGTGCTTTTCTAAATCCCAGAAGTGACTGAGAAAGGCCTCCCCTGGTAATCAGGTGCCACTGGCAAAGTCTTCTAGTCGCTGAAAATGCTGAGCCCTGACAAGTGGGAGCCAGCTGGTGGTTATGTTGCCATGTCAACAGGAAGAGGTCCCAGCGTGCTTTTGTTTGCTGATCACCAAGTTCATTGTCAGAGTGCTTGGGGCTGGGCTGGGCTGGGGAGACAGATGAAACCCGGGGACGCTGACCCCAAGAGCAGCAACCAGGGGGAGCCAGCGCAATCTTGCCTGTTTCTGGAGAGGGGGGGAGGGGGAGGCAGGAAAGTAGCCAGAGACACTTCGGAAGAGAACAATTAGGCCTGTTGTCTCTTGATGGTTTTACTGGGATTTCAGGAAATGCCTTGCCCCAGATTTTCAAAAGGGAAAGCACTTGGAGAGATAGGAAATAAATATAGGCAAAAAAAAATGGAGGCAGGGAAGGTCCTCCCAATCTAACCTCATTACTCGTGCACTAAGCCTCCCTCTACCTCCAGTTTCTGGGCTTCAGCACACCAATGACTTTGGAGTCATCAGAACTGATTTCAAATACTACCTTTAATAATGTCACCTGTGTGATTCTGAGTAAATTACTTGTCCTCTCTGAGTCTCAGTTCCTGGTCTGTAAAATGAAGGGGTTGGACTACAGGGATCATGGTTCTAGAGTTGGGAGGGCACATTGAAATCATCACATCCAACCTCTTTATTTTTACTGATGAGGAAACTGAGGCAAAGAGAGGTTAAGTGACTTGGCCAGGGTCACACAGTTAGTAAATGCTAAGGTACAGTTTGAACTCCATCCTTCCTGACTAGGAAGCCCAGCTTCCATGCTACCATGACACTGTCTCTTCCAGCTCTGGACCTGGGATCCTTTAGTCTGTGACCTTGCTCACCTTTACTGATGAAATGTCACAGGTGACCAGGGGATGGATGGGCTAAGAAGCAAGGGTCCACTTTTTACATTGTGACTATTGAGAGGCAGCATCCGTAGGGCTGGAATCGGGAGAGCCCTAGATTAAAATCCTATCGTAAGCATTCTGTTCACTGTGTAGCCATGGACAAGTCACAACTCTTTGGCCTTGATGACCTCATCTTTAAAAAACCAGCGTCTTAGGGTTATCATGAGGCTGAAATGAGGTTGTATGAGAAGAGCTACATTTATCATGATGGAAATGGTTGCTTTGTCCAGGGTCAGTCCTGATTAACAGCAGGAAAAGATAGGCAGGTCACAAAAACAAGGGAGACAAGCAGGGCAAGAACAAACCTAAAAGACGGCTGGATTGTCCCTCAAATTTTTTTCTCCTCAAGTAAATGAGGCACTCTAGTGACCTGATTTAACTCTTTCAGGATACTCATATGCTATTTCCTGTAGTGAAAGTGTAAATGCTGAGCTGATCACCAGGGGCATTCTGAACAACCCGCAGCAGGCAATATGTTTGGCGTCTTCCTTCCTTCCCAGTCTTGTTCCTGATTTTCTGGTCTTATGTCCCTGCCTTGCACCTTTTCAACTCCCTTTTGTGTGTCATCTCTCCCCATCACCACCATTAGAATGTAAGCTCCTTGAGGACAGGGACAGTTTTTCTTTCTGCTTGTATTTATAGCTCCCACACTTAGCACAGTACCTGGCACATAGCCCTTAATACTTTTGTTTTTCCTTCCTTCCTTCTTTTTTCCTTCTTTCCTACCTTCCTTCATTCCTTTTTCCTTTCCTTTCTTCCCCCCTTCCAGTTCTCTGTATCCCTATATTCTTGTCCAAAGCTCTCAATACCATCATTTCTTGCTCTAACTTCTCAGGTCAGCCTGAGAACCCAAGATTGCCTTTTCCAGCCTGTTTATTTCTCCCTTTATTTAATTAAAAAATCTCTTAAGGAGTTATCCCTTAGAAATGATCTCCTAAATGAATGAATCTGTACCTATTAGGGATGATGATTTGCTGTGTGAATGAAACCCGAATGATAACATTTCAGCAGCTGGGCTGCAGAGAGGTTCTGAGCAACAGTTACCTGACACCAATCTCCCAAAACAGAGCCTATTGTTCTCACACATAAGGCAAGCAGGTTTACAATTTTTGCTCTTATTTGGGGGTTTAAATATATTGCCTACTCTTCCATTTCAACAAACATTTTTAGGAGCCTATGTGTGAGGCACTTCTAGTTATCAGCTTCAGAGTACAAAATGGGGGCAAAATAGTTAGCTAGCAGTTCATTCGAAAAAGAGCTGGGGGTGACAGTGGCCCGCCAGGTCAGTATGAGCCACCAGTTTGATACAGCAGTCAAGAGTTAGTGGAATCTTAGACTACATTAAACCGAGAGGAGCACTGGGTCTGAAGTCAGAGGCCATCAGCATTAGAGTCCTCTGAGTTATCCTATATCTATCTTGCTTGTACACAGCTGTTTGCACGTTGATTGTGAACTTCTTAAAAGCAGGCACTATCATTTTTCTTATCACAGAGCTTGGCACAAAGCAAACACTTAATGAATGCTTGTTGACTTGACTTGCAGTTATTATCTGTGTGCTCCTGGGAAAGTCACCTAACCTCTTTGGTATTTTGGCCTCAGTTTTCTCATCTGTAAAATGGACTAGACAACCTTTACAGCCAGCTCTAAATCTCTGATCTATGACTGGGCCAGTGTTAGTCCCACTGTACTAAGGCCTCATCACACCTCGTGCTCAGCTCTCAGCATCACACGGTTTTGGTTTTGGTTTGTTTTGTTTTGGGTGTGTGTGACTTCAGACACTGCCCAATCTAGTATTACATGTTAAGAAGGGCATTGGTATGCTGGAGAATGTCCAGAAAAGGGCAACCAGAAGGGTGAAGGGCCTCCAGTTCATGTCACATAAGGATCTGTTGAAGGGATTAAGGATGCTTAGCCTAGAGAAGAGAAGACTGAGGAAGGATATGCTCACAGTTTCCAAGTATTGAAGGACTGTCATGGGGAAAAGGGAATAGATGTAGGCAGAACTGGGAGTGGTGGCAGAGGCAAAGTGAGGCTTTTAGGTAAGGGAAGAAACTTCCTGATAATTAGTACTATCCAAAAATATAAAGGACTGTTTGGGTGAAAGGGTGCACCTTTGCTTCTTCTCTTGAGTCAATGACTGGATGGTCAGTTACTTGCCAGAGGTGTTAGAGAAGGGAAGCTTGGTAAAGGAGAGAGAACTGGACAGACCCTGAGACCCTCCAGCTCCCAAATTGTGTGATCCCGTGTTGTTGTTGCTGTTGTTGTTGTTGTTGTTGATCTTGTGGTTTCAAAGAGGACCAATGACATCATGGGATGAAGTCTTGACTCTTGAGTTCATTGGATTTTGGTGAGGCAGAGTTACACAAAGCCATCAGCCTTGCTCTCTCTTCCAGAGTCATTGAAGTCCATTGGCAAGACAAAAGTCAGGATGACTGGTGATGGCCCAGGATTCAGTAGAGGACCTTGGAGTCTTCAATGTCTGATCAACTCTCATCACTCCACAGTGCCTGCTTCAACTGCTTTCATGGCTTTTGGAACAAATTATCCTTATCTGCCCATTGCATGGGGGGAAGTCTTCACATGCTTGGGGTAGACAGGTTTGAGGATCATCCAATTATAAAGACACAGAGTGTTGAAAATTAAATCCAAAAATAATCTGTAGATTTTATTTAGGCCACCATCAATTCCACCACCATCAATTTTTTACAACAAATAAAATTTTTTTTAACAATCAATATTAATTGTCCCTCTCCAATCTTCAGGCATCTGCTAATATAAGCTTCCTAAGGCATGCACATTACCATATTCCTCAAGAGCAATCAATAATTTCTTATTACCTCAATAATAAAAGGTACCCACCTAGCATTTAAGACCTTCCACAACCAAATTGGTCAATCAACAAGCATTTATTAAGTGCCTACTATGTGCCTAGCACTGTGCGAGGCTATAAGGTTATAAATCAATGAAACAATCCATACTCATTATACATTCTAATGAAGGAAACAACAAAGGCATATATTAGTGTATGCAGACTGACTATAAAGAGAATAAAAACAAATAAATGGGAAAAGGCTAAATACAAAGTAGTTTGAGAGGGGGGAGGGCAAAAGTAGCTGAATGGATCAAGAAAGGTTTCTTGTAGAACATAGTGCTTTAGCTGAGTTTTTAAGGAATTAGTTTAAGGAATGAGTTTTAAGGAATAGTTTTATTTACAAGTTCACAGACACAGGACTCAGAGGGGATCCTATGGAAAGACATAATACAATTCTTACCAAAGAACAGCCCTCCCCCTACCCTGCAAGGCTTTTCCATGACGTAGAGTACTTCCTTGGGTGGGGTTCCATTGGGAGGTTGTCAAGGTTCGTGCTCCCCTCCATGGCTCCTCTATTTGTGCTATGCTGCTTGCCTCTTTCAGCTCTCCTGCTCTCCTAGTGGGTGTCATGGGTCACTGCTCCCTATTAGTGTTGCTTTCCAACAGGTTGCTTCTGCTTCCAACAGGTGGTGATTCTCTCACCAGCCTCTGTCATTCACAGCTCCACTCACTGTTCTCTGCATTTCAGATCTCCTACAGAAGGTGGCATGCATCCCTTTTGTCAGAGGACCAGCTCATCAACCTGGAATGCATGAGACAACAACAAAATAATAATGTCTGTATGCATAGTGCTTTAAGGTTTTGTTTTGGTTTTTCTTCTCAACCCTTTGAGGTAGATAGTGAAAGAATTATTATCTCCATTTCACAGATGAAGAAACTGAGACTCTGAGCAGTTAAGTAACTCACCCATGATAGATGTCCAAGATGGATTTTGAAGCCAGATCTCCCCACTCTAGAGTGCTAGAATCTAGAACTCTATTTACTATGCCAAGCTGCCTTTATTAAAGCATTTCTTTTATGGTTCAGTAAAGATGATTTCCTGTTACATTTAAGCTTTCTTGTATAAATAGTTACAAAGTCATTGATTGAGAACTGAAAGAGACATTAGGGATGAGAGTTAAACCCCCATATTTTACAGATGAGGAAACTAAAGCCCAGAGAGATTAAGTGACTTGTCCAATGCCACACAGAGAGAAAAAGTCAAAGCGTGAGTTTTCTGATTCCAAATCCAGTGCTTTCCCCTTGCAGTGGAAAGTTACAGTGTTCTTGAAGTTCCCAGACTTACACATTTGGTCTATTAGGAGGAGGGGGAGAGGGCTAGGAATCTCGATTTCTTTCACTACTCTGAATATCTTTCTTCAATCTCATGAACAATGATAGTGAATTGATGGCATTTTCCTCCTCTCCCCCCAAGGGAACAATATACCTCTTAGTACTGAAAGCTCCCAACTGCCCCCATTGGGTCTCAGG